TCTCAATATATTCTTCGTTACTTTAAATGTTAGATATTTTTTTGCTTTGTTGTTTTCGTATGTTTTGTATTTTGCCCCTGCATGGTACTTCAAGAAACCAATGGACAAGAAAAGACTTTTCTCTTACCAGAGTATTGATGTTTTCATTGTTTTTATATTTTCTACAAATTTTATGATTTGAATATGCTGCTGACTGCTGTAAGGGGGCTGATTGTCACGTAAAAAGCCTTTCTTTAGGATCTTTTGCAGTAGTCTCACAGACACATGTCTGACTGAAGTAAAATGTTTTATCATTAATATTTTTTAGAAAAAAAGTGAAAGCCGTTTACAACTCCCTGTAGCGTCGAATAGGAGCGCAGCTCTTGAGGAGGAGGAAGAGGGAAGGGTAATGGGGGGGGTCAACTGACCGGAAGGGGGGGGTCACATGACCTTGGGGGTCACGTGACATTGGGGGACACGTGACCTGGGGGTCACGTGACGATGACAATGCCGATGATGTCATCAGTGACGTCACTGATTACGTCATCAGTGACGATGACGATTCGGATAGCGATGACGTCATTAGTGACGTCACTGATGACGCTGCGGATGTCGGGGACGTGATCTATGACGTCATCTGTGATGATGAAGATGACGATGCGGATGCCGGTGACGACATCAGTGACGTCACTAATGACGGCATCAGTGATGATGACGATGACGATGCAGATGTCGGTGGCGTCATCAGTGACGTCACTGACGTCGTCATCAGTGATGAGGACGATGACGATGCGGATGTCGGTGACGTCATCAGTGACGTCACTGATGACGTCATCAGTGATGATGACAATGACGAAGTGGATGCCGGTGACGTCACTGATGACGTCATCAGCGATGATGACGATGGCCATGCGGATGCCGGCGACGTCATCAGTGACGATGACGTCATCGGGGTCGTCACGTGACCTCGGCGGGGGGGGGGGGTCACGTGATCTCAGGGAAGGCACGTGACTTTGGGGGTCACGTAACCTCGGGGGAAGTCACGTGACCTCCGGGGGGTCACGTCACCTTGGGGTGACCTTGGGAGGGGCCACGTGACCTGGGGTGTCACGTGACCTTGGGTTGACCTTGGTTACGCCGACGCCGCTCAAGCCGGAAACGGGTGCCTAATGGCGCGTTCACACTGGCAGCGGATCCGCGTTCGCGAAGCGGATCCGCGCGATCTTAACCGCAAAGCGGGTAGGATCGAGCGGTTGGAGCGCGTTTTTGCCAACCGCTTCGGGACCGATTTCTCCCAACCGCTTTCACCAACCGCAAAGCGGCAACCAATCACAACGCGACGCTGACGTCAGTGACTTTCGAAACAAGATGGCACCTGTCGCAGGCGAGGCGTCCAAGGCGCTGTAGTCCTAGCGCTGTAGTCTTAGCTTTCGACAAATCAACGGAGAAACTTGGTTCACGTCCGTCACTTGAATCCGCCGCGAAAAAAATTGACTCGCTAATTTTAACGGGCTTCGCACCGGTGATTTGGTTTGGGAAAGAGTTTGTTGATTGTTCCGGGTGCCACACCCCAAGCTCGCTGCGTTGTTAATCTCTGCCTGTAGAGCGTCGGAACCCACCCCTGATCGACCGAAATGTCAGCTTTTGTATCCACTAAGATAGTCGCGTGAACTATTGAAAGCTTTCGGCACCATGCATGACCACCACGAAGGCCGATAGAGACGTCGTGAGCTCGATTGCGTAGCCAACGCACTACCGCGGAGGGGGCAGGGTACCTGCGCTAGCTCGACCTGTAACGTTTACTACTAATAAAATAAATAAAGGGAACCTACTCCAGGAATAAAGTGTAAGTACCAGACAATGGAGAGGTAATCCATACGGCGTTTGTTTGAGCTTAATGTCAAACAAACAGTAGACTCGATCGACGAGTGAGTGACGAGAGGAGAGTTCGCCACCAACGAAGCCACGACCGGCTTGCACCGAACACATTACCCCGCAACACGGTCACTGTACCACGGTCCACCCCACCGCTCACAACTTCGAAAATGATAAGAGCGAACAACGAGGGGGAAAACTGGCTCTCTATCCTGAAAACAAGGTCAGCTATTCATGCGGGAAGGGTCCACTTCGAAGAAAAGGTCGGGGGCATCCTGTTCTGAGTCAGCAAGGCGCGCCTAGCTAGGCTTTGCTTGTGGGTGAAGTCGAGGAAATCACAGGCGAGTTTGGCGGTTCCATGCTTCTTTTTTTTGCTGCCTGAACTCGGTATGTGCGCGAACATCCCGGAGAGAAATATGCCGAGTGCCAAAATAGCAAAACTTTGGCTTTGGTTCTTGCATTAAAGTGGATTTTGGATTGTAAAACAGGGATGTCGAAGGCAAGTCTCATAAGGTCACGTGTGATCGTCGAGAAACCGCCAACCGCCTCCGGTGTGTCTGAACGGGGTCGCTCGCGAACCGCATCCGCGACCGCTTCGCGAACGCGGATCCGCTTTCAGTGTGAATGCGCCATAAGAGCTGCGCTCTAAAAACGTATCGCCATAGAACTCCTCCGTAGCTGGGAAATAGGGTTTTCTCAGAAATGTTTGTCAGACGCAAGTAAAATAAAACAAACCGGTTATCTTGACACTAGTTCTCTATAGTCATATGTGATTACTGTGAAACCAAAATACTTTCTACTAGATCTGGCATTGCATTGGACAGTTTTGTTGCTGGCAAATTGTTTATAAATTTGCATACATTACAAACACTCATTTTCAAGATAAGAGTTGCGAATAAAAGTTGGTTGTACCAAATGCCCATTTTTTTTTTAGAAATTCGTGACACTGTGTTATAGTTAGGGTTCCGCGTTTTCGGTTTTTACGTTTTCAAAATTCGGCGTACTTTTTTCGGTGTTTATTTTAAAATTCGATTTTCGGTTTTTTTCGGTGTATATTCGTTCTCAAAAAATTTTAGTGGTTTTTTTTTCGGTGAACATGAAAGAAACACAATCGGACACGGGTCATATGATCACTCAAAGAATAACGGCACATATTACGTGTGCCTTCGCTACAACGTCCGTCAGGACACACCTCAAAATTGCGGAATTCGCGGGCATAATCTTCAGCACGCGTCTTTTTTCTTCCCATTCTGACGGCGTGACCGTCTGAGGTGATGACCGTACAGCAACCAGTGAAATGGCAAAACAAAATCTATTGTATTTATGTTTTTAACGACAGGGAAGTTTGAGAGAGGGTGACAAGAAGCTATCAACGGCTTTCCTCGGTGTTTTCTGAAGTGCATGACACCCGAACTTTTTTTAAGAACAGGGACTTGAAAAACTAAGCCCGATCACAGAAAGGACACAGATGTCCCGCGAAAGCCAATCGAAGACCTCTTTTGTTGCATGTTGAAACTTGGAAGAGGGCAATTACGAAGACGTCACACAATGACGAACCTTGCAAAACCCTCTCTCCTATCCCCCCTCCCCCACCCACCTCGACGCGGCCCTAAGAAACTAACCTTTTTTGGTTATAACCGAATTTTAGAAAACGGATTAGACGTACTTTTATCGGTTTAAACCTAACACGCTGAACCTACAAACTGACCTTTTTCGGTTAAAACCGAATTTCCAAAAATGAATTCGGCGTACTTTTATCGGTTTTTATCGGTTTAAACCGAAAACTCCGAACCCTAGTTATAGTCATTTACCTGTACTAGTCTAATACATAAATTATCAGGCCACGCTTCCCAAATGGCGGATTCGGCAGCTTTGGATACGAGCTTCCACGTGTACGTGACATCAGAGGGCGAACGTTCGGACGATTACTACCGTCGAATCACATAAGCAAGGATAGTTTAATTTTTCTTTAAAATTTCATAAGCCTGCCAACTAAGCATCGTTTTGAAGTCAGTTATTCCGCCAACAATGTCCGAAAAAACCAAAATTATAAATTGTCAGGAGCATCGAAAAAAACCAATATCATTTTTCTAGCATCCGAAATTAAAAAAGGCTGACCTAAAGCGGCAATGTACACCATTTATATTTAATAATGCAAAAACATCATATTAGTTACGAGTATTTGGCAAGGAATCTTCGTTTCTGAAGTGACTCAATTTACGTTATTTTTTTCTCCCCAAAAACGACAATATTGTAAAAAATTTCCAGATACTAAATAGAGCTAAAAAAAAATCTGGGAGACGGTGGATGTAAAAACAATTAGTTCGTTGTTCCTTGTACCGCGTGCACCCCCCCCCCCCCCCCTCATTTCCCCCGAACATACACGCACAAGAAAATATTACTGTGTTCTCTTCAGTCAAAACGTAACAACGCATCGCGGAACGTTCATTCTCTGCCCAAATGTAGAGCTAACGGTCCGAATCACCTAAGTAGCACAATTGACTGCTTCAAGCTTGAGCTAGCTTTGACAGCCAGGGAAAATTTCCCCGGGCCATGCACCTTTTTTACCGTGGGGCAAGCTTGTTCCAGCCTGGTTAACGTTCCCGGCAGTTCAGTAGGGGCTCCTTGTCTAGCCAAGCTGTCTGTACGTTGTAAAATCATCCTGGGCCATGCTGGCAGGTCAGTGGTCAGCCGAGCTTGGAAACACGGTCCAAGTGCAGCCTGTGTCACGTTGGCAGTTCAGGGGTAAGTAGGCTTGGCGAAACGGTGTAAATGCAGTGAGGGCCGCAGGGGATGTTATTGAATCACTCAATGTTTGTTATACGGGGAATTCACAGACTCGTCCCAGGGAGGCCTAAATGATCATTCAAAGTGTAGGGACTGGACGCACCGATGCGAGTCCAGTCTCGGCACAGGAAAAGAGAAAAAGACGCGCGCGCTAGCTATACGCTCACGCGCTCACGAAGAGCAGTTCCTGACGAGACTACACTGAAATAGAACGTTGTTGTGGAACGTTCGTCTCCTGCCTGTTTCTTTCACCACATTTGGTGACCCGGACGTGATCGCCAACTAGAACGGGTGAAATGCAGCAAGGAGAGCCTTCGGACCTGCCGCCAGCCACTGTTGTAGCAGCCGCAGTCCGCCTTCCACCGTACTGGGACCGCAATCCGCGAGTTTGGTTCCTGCAAGCGGAATCACAATTCCACCTCGCTGGGGTAACCACACAAGGTCGGAAGTACCACCACGTCGTCTCGGCTCTTTCACCAGCTGCCGCCGACGATGTCTACGACGTTCTGGCAAATCCCTCTCCAGCAACACCGTATGACCAACTGAAGAATGCTCTTCTCCAGCGCACCGAGATTTCGGAACGCTCCCGCGTGCAGCAGCTTCTTTCGGCGGAAGAGCTCGGGGACCGGCGGCCACGCCAGTTGCTGCGACGCATCACCCAGCTTTTTGGAGAGCGCGCTAACAATCTGGACGACGTATTCCTCCGCGAGCTGTTTTTGCAAAGGCTACCTTCCGATGTCCAGATGGTTTTGGCAACAGCAACAACATTGGACCTCACCGGACTTGCCGCGCTGGCCGACGCCGTGATGGAGATGACCACTCCCTCCGTCGCCAATGTTACCGTGGCTCCACAGCAACCAATAGCCCTGGACTCTGGATCGGCCGCCAACAACCAGCATCCCCAGGCCAACATCGAGCAACTTTGCCAACGTTTGGAGCAGATCGTCGTCGCAGCTACAGAAGGCGCGCCCCACCCGCATGAAACACGTCGCAGACGTTCGACATCTCGTTGGGCACGCGGCGAATCGACATCTCGTCAGACACGCAGCGCAAACACACGATCACCGAGCCCTTCCGGGGCCTGCTACTACCACCGCCGCTTCGGTGCCAACGCCCGGCATTGCCTCCACCCCTGTTCATGGCAGGGAAACAGGCCGGCCGACCTCTAGAGGCGACGAGTGGTCAGGGCCTCGACGAAAGTCGCCTTTTCTACGTGTGTGACAGAGCCACAAAGAACCGGTATCTCGTCGACACCGGAGCCGAGATCAGCGCAGTTCCAGCAGCGCGTGCCGACCGTTCCTTGACACCGATCTATTTTCTGCGCGCAGTGAACAACAGCGCCATCCCAGTCTACCGAGAACGGTCGATCACCCTTAACCTCGGCCTCCGACGGGTTTTCCGGTGGATCTTCCTGGTGGCCGACGTCAGTCAAGGAATTCTCGGCGCGGACTTTCTCAACCACTACAAACTCCTCGTGGTTGTTAGAAGCAGGCGACCGATAGACTCCACCACGCGACTTTCCATCCATGGTATCGCAACGGACGACAATGCAGCCTACACCTCTGCCTGCACAATCCCGGAAGGAGCGTTCAAGACTTTGCTGAGTAAGTTTCCGAGCTTTACTCAGTCATCTGATTGGACCAAACCCGTCTCGCACGACGTACAACACCACATCGTGACGACAGGACCAACTGTTTACTGTCGTCCCCGCCGTCTAGCCCCAGAGAAACTCCGCGATGCTCGCCAAGAGTTTGAACACATGTTGGACCTTGGCATCATCCGACCCTCGCCTAGCAGCTGGGCGTCTCCAGTACACATGGTGTCGAAGAAAATGGAGAATGGCGGCCGTGTGGCGATTATCGTGCCCTAAATAAAAACACTGTACCGGATAGGTACCCTCTACCTAACATTTAGGATTTCACGGTGAACCTACAAGGCGCGAAGATCTTCTCGAAGATTGATCTGACGCGGGCCTACCACCAAATTCCCGTGGCCAAAGAAGACATCCCGAAAAACGCGATCACGACACCGTTTGGACTTTTTGAATTTCTCCGCATGCCCTTTGGCCACAGAAATGCGGCTCAGTCATTCCAACGGTTCATCGACGCTGTCCCACGAGGGTTACCTTCTGTCTTCGCGTACGTAGACGATTTGCTCATAGCCAGCAAGTCATCGGTAAAGCACACGACCCCCTTGGACCTCCTCTTTGAACGACTGCGCAGCCACGGCATTGTCATCAACGCCGCGAAAAGTGTGTTCAGAGTTCCGTAATTGGAATTTCTTCGTCATCGGCTTGACTTCTCGGGCATTCGTCCATTGCCATCAAAGATTTCCCGAGGCCGACTTCGACCACCAAACTTCGCCAGTTTCTCGGTTTGGTAAATTTTTACCGACGTTTTGCTCCGAACTGCGCCAAACTGCTCGAACATGTTGAGGTCCTCCAAACGAAACAAGAACGAAAAAAGTCGTCCCTTCCTTGGAACGAAGATGCGGAACGCGCTTTCGGCGAGGTAAAGAACTCACTGGCAGAAGCAACAATGCTAGTACATCCTAAGCATGATGCCCCAACATCGCTGATGACTGACGCATCTGCCACAGCCGTAGGAGCGGTGCTACAACAAAACGTCGACGGAGAGTGGCGGCCGATTGGTTTCTTTTCTAAGAAACTCAAACCAGCGCAAACGCGCTACAGCGTTTTCGGACGTGAGCTATTGGCTGCCTACTTGGCTGTACGACACTTTCGACATTTCGTCTAGGGACGACCATTTACCATATGGACTGACCACAAGCTTCTAACTTACGCCATCAGAAATTCCGGGTCTCATTACACAACACGTGAGATTCGCCAGCTAGCCTTCTTGGCTGAATTCACAACGGACATTCGGAACCTTAAAGGAGTTGGCAACGTCCCCGCTGATGTCCTCAGCCGGATCGACGCCGTGAACACCCCAGCCTGTTCTGTTGTAGACTTGGAGTTGCTAGCCGGTCTACGGACCACCGACGAAGAATTGCAAGCCCTGCGCAGTTCATCCACGTCAATGCAACTGCGGGATGTAAGCTTTCCAGATGGCACGACCGTGATCTGTGACCTGTCAACGGGAACGCCTAGGCCTTTTGTACCACATGAACTGCGACGACAGCTTTTCGAAGCGATTCACTGCTTGTCGCACCTGGGTATACGAGCATCCCAGAAGCTCCTGTGCGACCGCTACGTCTGGCCCCGGATAAAATCCGACGTTCGTGAATGGGTGCGTTCCTGCATCGCATGCCAGTGCGCGAAAGTACAGCGGCATCCGGTATCACCAAGTCGACAATTCCTACAGCCTGACAGCCGTTTCAACAAAGTACATCTGGACCTGGTAGGACCCCTATCGATTTCTCAGGGACAGCGCTATCACACGATAGCCAGAGGCAACCCCACTGCCCGATATCACTGCCGCCACCGTCGCTGAGGCGTTTATCGTTACGTGCGTATCCCGGTTTGGATGCCCCTCAGAGATTGTCACCGACAGGGGTCGACAATTTGAATCGGTACTCTTTGCCGAGCTCACTCGATTTCTCGGAATCAACCGTTTGAGAACGACTGCCTACCACCCCCAGTCCAACGGTATGGTAGAACGATTTCATCGACATTTGAAATCGGCCCTGGCAGCTCAGTGTAGTCCCTCGGATTGGTTTCGTCGTCTCCTCCTTGAGCTTCTTGGAATCCGGACAGCCTTAAAGGCGGACATCGGATGCTCCACCGCCGAGCTGGTGTACGGCACTGCACTTCGCTTGCCATCAGATTTTCTTGAAGTGGAACTGCCTCAACAACAAAGGCAGTTGAACTATGTAGAACTGAAGCAAATTTTTATCAATTTGCGACCGGTGCCTACACGGCAAGGAACTTCAAAGTCTCCCTACGTGACCCAGGACCTCCAAAACGCCACTCATGTTTTCGTACGACAGTCGCAAAAGAAGCCACTGCGCCCACATTACATCGGACCTTTTCCAGTTGTCGAAAAGAGAAGCGACACGTTTGTCCTGCGTGTCAACGGCAAGAATGACACCGTTGCATTTGAGAAACTAAAGCCGGCACATATTGAGCAAGCGCATGTGCAGAAAATAGCGCTACGTGACATCGACCAGACGGCAGACAAAAGCCAACTTCGTTCGCACTCGAATGTTTGTGTGCTTTGATCGTTCGTCCTACCTTCTCTCTAAGGGGGGGGCATATCTGTAGGGACTGGACGCACCGACAAGCGAGTCCAGTCTCGGCACAGGAAAAGAGAAAAAGACGCGCGCGCTAGCTATACGCTCACGCGCTCACGAAGAGCAGTTCCTGACGAGACACCACTGAAATAGAACGTTGTTTTGGAACGTCCGTCTCCTGCCTGTTTCTTTCACCACAAAAGGATATTTTTGTGTCAGTGAGCCAAACATTATCTCCAATATTTGGCGCTGTACTCAGAATCAAATTGGTTACTACTTTCATCCGGATGTAGTGCCTAACAAATAATTAAGCTGATTCGAAATGTTTTTAGAATATTTAAACGATAGATGGACAGTTTAGAAAATGAGCGAGTTACTGTATTTAACGTATGTTTGGCATGCAAATGAGCAGCAAAATCAAATCAAAAATTGATATTGTTTTTTTTTAATTACATGTTGAGTACAAGGCTTACTAGTTTTAAGACTAATTGCATGTCGAGTATCTGCTGCCTGGTATATTGGCTTCATAGCAAGCGGGCGGTCCAGCCGATCCGAGTATAATCCCAGATCAATTGCCGAGGGTTCACGTCTTGTCCACTTGATGGACGGTGATGCGGAGCTGAATAGCAGCCCCGAGAGAAGAAACAGGGTAAACAGTGATGCATGTTTAGTAAATAGGTTTTACCAAAACTATATATTATGACCCTAATAAAATTATAATGTAACATGACGGGCACTACAATGCTCTTGGTGAGATATACAGTCTCTATCATTAAAAGAGAACTACTGGAAGCACATAGCCGTGACGGCGGCGGTCCGGTGCGCAATGTGCACTCAGCGAGATTCCTTTCTGCGTCATGGGAAGGGCACTCACTAGGGCTCAACTGGGCCTGAACGCGCTCAACAGTTTTTGGTTTAGGTTTAGTGGAAAACTTCACTTCGTCGGCGTCATGCCAAGATATATGGTCCCGAAGGTTCGAAAAAAGCATACTCATCCCTTTTTTATCAGTTGTCTCTGGTGCAAAATTTCAAAATGTGTACTGCCAAAAAAAAGAAATCAAAGTTACACCCATTTTGTATACTTGAAAAATAAATATGTTGAAGTGCGCATTTATTAATTAGAAGGATGGCATGAACGTCGTGTTTTAACATTTAAAATATTTGCCTTGACACAAGCCAATCTCTCTCAGAGAGCCATTTTAGAATTAGTAGCCGTGACATGATGCTAATAAACTTCTCCCCACCGCAAAACCGAAAACTGGTAAGGGTGCGTTGTGCTTTAACTGAGCCCGGAGCGAATTCTTCTTTGGGCAGATTGGAATCGCACGGAGCGCACGCAGCCCCTGCCAGCCACTGCCTCGGCCAGGCACTCCCAGTGAGCATTTTATATTGCAGGAGACTACATCAGACAGGAACTACAAAACTCTACAGTGACAATCAAAGTTTCTTTCTCTTTCTATAATACCACTGTCAGTCAATCCGATATAAAAGTCATAGCACTCCAATGTGAGCATGACATTCAACATGCAATACTGTGGTAGGTTGCTTAGATTGCTTGTAAGAGGATTTTAATTTTCCACAAAAGTAAATGTTTTGATTCAAAGCTATAAGCAGAACTTCCCTTTAAAAAATGTTTTCTATCTGCTTTTTTTAATAGATAGAAATGCTTTTGATATTTATGTTGCCTTGCTGTAAGATTACAATATAAAGAGTGTCAACTTCTACTGACCACCCTCAAAATATAAACCACAAGAAACTAATTCCCTAGTAATTAAAACGCCACGGAAGAAAAGCAAATTAGAGGAACATGCAGTCGGGTTTGATTAAATTGAATTAATAAATAAAACTAATGAAAGTCATATTCGCGTGAGAATGTATTCGCAACCTTCAATGCGAAATAGGATCAGACGTCCAATGCTGGAGTCCTTCAAGCGCGACCGATAAAAAAAAAGAAAAAAAGAAAACTCGACATGCCTAAACGCATTCAGCATCCACCTGCATATACCTTTGGCAGGTTTGTCGTCTCTCGGGCCTCATGAGGCAGGCACACGTGAATATACAAGCGTGCCAAAATATATCATCACATGCCTGTTGCAGGAACTTCAGGCTTAAGATGACATTTTGGGGTAGTTGGGTATTCATTAGTGGAACATATGCCAAAAACAGTCAAAAGAAAGCGAAATTTGGACGGGACGCGGCTTAACTTTTAACTAAATGGTTTATTTACAATATATATATATATATATATATATAGATATAGATAGATAGATAGATAGATAGATAGATAGATAGATAGATAGATAGATAAATAGATAGACAGATAGATAGATAGAAACAAACACCTGATGGCAGAACATTGTAAGGTAGGGTTTGACGTGCTTTCTCACAAACCAGAACCACTGACTCTACAGAAAGTGAAATCCTTTTTTTAGACAATAACAATGAGAATGCGTTCTTTACGGGTAAACAGTGCGAACAAGGACACAAAACAGAAAAAAGATGTGCCCACATCTTCTCTGTCTTGTGTCCTTGTTTTGATGCACTCAGAGAAAAGTTGTTACCCTGGGATTTTATTAAGAAGGTCGCCTAGCGGTTAACTGTGGCCATTGTGACCGCAAGACCAATTTTGAAAAGACTAGGGTCATGGGCCGTTACCAGACAGAAACAGCGAGTAAAATTCACAATGTGTCCGTGATAAAACCCCAGCGTAACAACTCACGTGACCGCACCCTCGTAGCCATTATCTGAAAAAGATTTTCACTAACTGCAAAGCAAGTGACGCCGGTCTCCGAGAAAGTGGGCTTAGACCTTACCTTAAGCCCAGTTCTCATAGTACCATTTTGCTTTTGAATTTGCACCTGTGACGTCGGGCAGCTCAGCATCTCCTATATTTTTTTTGCTGCACGAGCAACGTGGCAACAGCAAACTCGAAAGTGAATTCGCAGCATGCGAATCAGCTTTACAGTGTTAGCCCAGCCCGTGTCGTTTCTTAATAGTATATGTATTTTCACCTAAATAAACAATTCAGTTGAAAGTGACGCCATGTCCTCTGCTGGCCTTCCTCCGTTTTATCTGTGTTTTTTGGTCTTATATTACGTCTTGAAGCATGCCGGTTCTCGCTGTTTCTGTTTGTCGCTCTAGTAGGACTCGGGCCCACAATGCGGAAACAGTCATATATCGATAATATGCATACTCCCTATTGAAAATTCTCATATGTATGAGAAATTTCTGAGTCGAATAAGCACATATGAATTATACAAGATATGCAAGAACATATAGGAACTCTATAAGAGCTATATAAGAATTATATAAGATACATAAGAACATACAAGCACCATATAAAAACTCGTGAAAAGTTTCTTGTATATCTTATCTATCACTTATATGTTTCTTATATATCTTGTCTGATTCATATGTGCTTATTGGACTCAAGAAATTAATCATACAAATGACTTTTTTCACTAGGGCTATTTCAAATAGAGATAATTTTCGGGGACGAACTGTGTATATACCTGCATTTTGTTTCGCTTTTTGGACAGCTTATACGCAGGTTTCCATATTTATGAGACATCACTATCAAATTTCCTAGTGTTCAAAATATTGACCACATGCTCTGAAGACTCGTAGCCGGTTTCTCTGCAGTGCACCAATGCGTAGTTGTGGCATGGCAGGAGTTTTGGGCTTCAGAACACGCCAAAGGAGCATTATATCTAATGTGGACACCCGTGGATATTTGACATTAATGTCAAACATCAAATAGACCTAAATGTTGTAATGGCTGTGAATGTTAAAGAGGGCAAAGTTGGCATTTCCATCAAAACTTGAAATAGTAAGTAATGTGGAGACAAAATGTCTAGTGTCGCTGGAGCCCAAACAATCTTTTAAAGCACTTTGGGTCAGCTACTCAAGAAAAGGCGCGACATAATAGCTGGACAACACATCCCAATGCACGCCTTACTAAGACAGCGAAAAAGCACTACAGAGGTGGTATAGATACGTCAGAGCATGCCACATCGCTGTATTCGGACCAAGCTTCTAAACGTGAAAAACACATTTTACTCTTTACGTTAGAAAGTTCACTTTAAGTGGAGAACTATATTACCTCAAAGCCGACGTGCAATCTTGGTTTTATGCAGGAACAATAATCCTCTTAGTCTTCCCCCATCCTGAACTGCAAGGGGAGCCAAGTTTGGGGCAAGGTGAAAAGTGGAAAGAACATAGGGATGGAGGAGGCGACAAAAGTGGAAAGCGCGAAGTGTACGTCGGGCCTTAGAGGGCAACTGTGACAGAAGAAAATTATCATCTGATGGACGGATAGATGGATGCAAACGGCCGTATCCTTTGTAACGGGTAGTAGTGTCACTGTGTGCGCTGGGACTATAGTGGTGGCAGTGCCAGCATAAAATGAGTCAGCCACTAACTGAAAGATCAGGATAACCCTACTAAAAAAAAAAAAAAAAACATTTGAAATTCATACGGGTGGCAAACTGGTCGACCCGCTTGAAACAAACGGGTGGCAAACTTGTCGATCCGTTCGGATCAAACGTGACTATGGGATACGGGTACCAGTTTGATACGGTACCCGTTCGATACGGCATCCATTTGATACGGGTGCCCGTTTGATACAGGTGCTCGTTTGATACGGATGACCGTTCGACCTGGCACATGACCACACATTTAAACGCGCCATTCGGATAGGCAACTTTTTCGCTAGCCCTTAATAGGTATCGTCCGTCTGGAAGGGTGGTTACCTTAAACTTATTTAAGACGTCCCGAAACTCATAAACCTATTTATAACATGCAGAAAACACGTAGAAAAAATGTGCTCACGCAAGTGCCTGAAAATGGGCAGGAAAGCAGACACACAATATTGTTTTCGATTTACCTAGGGGTTTATTACAACCTATTACGTAAACAAGTAAAAACGTACAAGAGGCTTTTATACAACTGAGCAGATTGGAAAGCAAACAAGAACCGAGGTAATTCTAGACTATAAAGGTAGACTTCAGACAAAATTATTCTCAGGGCTGCCGCGAGAATGGACGCTACAGAATTCTATATATAATCTGGAAGAGTACACGTAGAGGAACGATCAATCGTTGCCAAGAAGTAGGTTGCAGTGCACTTACCATAATATTAGTTGAGTTGAAAGATGCAATCCGAGATAAATGTCGATGCCGGTCAAAGCAGGACAACCACACAAACACCAAAACAAGAAGGAAGGCTTCTTGAAGTTTCAACACGATGCAGCGCACAAGCTGTCATTTGGCGAACCCAACCAAACAGCAAGAATTCCTGACTTCTTTCAACAATCGCTTGTTTCTGACATACGCGTAGGATTTTTGAAAAACTGATAGTTTTGGTGCACATCAAAAGGTTGTCGAGACATCAAAATAAGACCGCAGGGTAAGGCGACAGATCGAAGCTGGTAGGACGTACGAAGTTCGAACTTCAACGGAGAACAAGCAGACCAAGAAAAAAGAGGCTGCCAGTGGACGCAGTACCGGATGTCGCAAGTGATGCTTATCGACCTGAATAAAGAAAAAAAAAATAAAGAATCAGCGTGTAACTCGCGCGCGCTGGCGCCACCCTCTCCCACGGATGGTCACGTGACAGGTGACCAGAGAGGAGTGAGGGGGCGAGGTCAAGGAGTTCAAGGCGCAGTGCAGGACACCGGGACACCCCCGCGCCCTCTCCTCAGGCATTCCTGCACAACGTGTTTGCACGCTCGAACGCAGGAAATCGCGCCGGCCGCTCGGGTTGCGGCTGACTGAAGAAAACACTCAGCGTGAGCTAGTAGTTGGACTGCCGTAATGGCGAGCGTGCTCTCGCAATGCTCTTGCCGCCGCGTGTTCGGGCGCTACACACGCTACGTCTTGAGTTGAGGTGAAAACGAATCCAGAAGTGTATTCATCCACGCGGTTGCGTCGTCTGCGAGAGAGATTCGAGCTGAGTAAGTTAATCGAGCCAACAAAAGCGCCAACGTTTTAAAGTTCTGTGAAAAATATCAGATCGCGAACGTCGGCGTTTACGTAAAAATAAATAAATAAATAGATAAATTGTTGATTGCAGTTGCGGTTAAAGCGAATATCTGCGCTATTTATATATATATATATATATATATATATAACTGAGAAGAAAAAAACCCTTAGTGAAAACAGCAACAACGGACGATTTAATATTCGACGTTTCGGCCGGAGTCCGGCCTTCGTCAGGAAGCTTCGTCCTTCCTGACGAAGGCCGGACTCCGGCCGAAGCGTCGAAGAATAAATCGTCCGTTGTTGCTGTTTTCACTAAGGGTTTCTTCTTCTCAGTTTTATACCCACGTCTTCGGCCTCCCGCCACCATGCCCGTTATATATATATATATATATATACACATATAATTACCTGCATTACGCGGACGATTTGAAATCGATGAACCGGCGCTCGCGGCCTTCCGAAAACATACGCTGCCGCGGCTGAAACAGGCGTACCCATGCCGCCGACCTGTACGTTCAGTATCAAACGGGCTCCCGCGAGCCGTTTGATTAAAGCGGTTC